GTAATTTATTGATAATTTTTTGAGATGTTTTGTTTATCAAAATCCGCCCACTAGTTATTCTATTTCCCCACCCTAGGAATACTATTTGAATGCCGGCTGTGACGGTGTTTTTTATTCAAAATCGTTTAGTCGAATGGTCATATTACGGATTATGTAGAATGACGTAGGTTTAACGCAACTCATACTGTGATACAATTTTGTTCGTTTTAATTATTTTTCGAAATTATTTTTACTTTCTCGCTGCGAAGTAGAGAGAAGTTATGTAATGCTGCGCAAAAAACTGTGAATTTTCGGCCGAAAAACTTAATACAGGGCTCTGGTAACGACACAGTGGATAAATCCAGTTGCTAAACGTAGAAAAACAAATTCTAACATATGGTGTATCCAGAATCCATATTTTGTGTGTCCTCGTTGCCGAAAATTCGAATGACGGCAAAACGTCTGTCTGTAAACAACGCTAACGGCTAAATCGTTTAGCAGATTTTCTTCAAAATTTATATTCCCCAATCGATCTTGCTGACGTCACGGCCCATAGAATTTGAAACCAAAATTTTCATTTTTACTTTACATGAAGTCCCTGAGACATTTTCAAAATATTTCTCTCCTCCAAAAAAAGTTCCATCGTTTTTGATAAAAAAAATTGTTAGTACGAAGGAGGTTGAAGAGAATGATCACGTTTCATATTTGATAAAAAACAGACTTTTTGGAAAATTGCAAAAGTTCAAACTTTTTCGGAGTCTTTCTAACTAAAATACTACAGATAGAGACTTTTCATTTAAAGAAATGTTTCTTAAAGATAGATTTTGAATTGTCACGTCCAGTTTTTCGAAAATTTGAGTACTTTTTGCGTGAAAATATGGGCGAGGAAGTATGTGCTCTTTTTGCACCACTAGTTACTTGAAAGTGCAGTGAGAAGTTAAAATTAAAAGTAACTGAAAATGGGAGGGGGGGGGTTCTCTCATTGGATCCGCGCCAGAAACATAAAATTCATTATTTTTTATCATATAATAACAACATTTTGTTTCCTTGGAGATCATTACTACTGAACATAACATTTCTAAAGTTATTTGTTGACAATAGGCTAAATCGGGTTAAGTTTTACAGTGGTTTCTGAAAGAAGCTCACATTAATTTTTAGTCCAGTCGTATGATACTTAATGTACATTGTAATAAAATGGCATTAAAAACTTGGCTAAGGAGGGTGGGAGGGGTTTGAGGTAGTATCAGCTGATTTACATAGTGGTAGGGGTGTTTATTGTTACATAACATTGTTTTTTTCTTCAGTTTTTCGCCCCAATATTTGCTGAAATGTTTCCTTTTATTCAGTCTAATATTCTTCTCCTTTTATTTCTTCTTCTCCTTCTTCTATGGCACTGTAGTCCACCTTGAACCTTAAAGAGAACCGCCACTGATTTTGAAGAATCAGGGGCGGTTCTTTATAAGGTTCAAGGTTCACGCAACACCCAAAAAATTGAACAAACTAGAGTATACACTTCATTTTACAATATCATTAATAGTATGACTTTTTCTGCCCCTCTTTTTACAATTTCCAAACCAATATTACATTTACGAAGCGATGTGGCTACGTTGCTGTTCACGTTATCGAAACATCTCGCTCAGACTTCCTGCAGACTTGGTTCCATCACGACCATTGAGTACCACGTGACGTCGCTTCTGA